GCGGCGGGGCTGGGGCGGGGGCCGAGTGGCAGCAGGACGCGGGGAGCCCAGTGCCTTCCTGCCCGGGCTTCCCTGCTGCCGGGGGAGTGCAGCGCTGCCGAGTGAGTGGGAGCAAAGTGTGCGCAGAGGGCAGCCCTGCGAGCCCGGATGGCCCCGGCAAGGGACACTTACCTCTCCGCGTGCCTGCGTGTGTGGGGAGGGGGCGATGAGTGGCCGGGCAGTGCTTCTCTCTGGGGGCAAGTGGCGAGAGAGCCGGCGCGAGAGCAGTCGGCGCTCACTGTACCCTGCTCCACATACATTACATGCAAGCCGGAGAGCCCTGAAAACATTCATTTTTGATAGAAGGCAGCCTGCCATTGGCTCCGGGACTGAGAGACACCCCGGCCAGCCATACAGCTGGCCCGTTACACCCAAAGACGGGCGCTCGTGCACACACACACACACACACAGGCACACACACACTCCTATGCAGACACCCACACGCACAAAGATCATCACGGCTCTTCTAACAGTGTTTCAGGACCTGTAGGCAGCCGAGCAGGGAGCAGGGCACTCAGCATGGCAGCCCGGCACTATTTCCAGTGCTTGAAACTGGTGTCCATTGGCTGACTGGGCAGGGTTGTGGTAATAAACGACAACTCCACTGGATACCCAAGTGGGGGGTTGTTGCTGCCACTGGCTAGTGCCCCATGAAAGAGCAGTGCTTTGTGTTATGATTTCCTAGTAAACAAGTAGCAGAGGCAGAAATGCAGTTCTTTGCTGCTTGTTTTCCTCTTGGGAGGAGGAGGGGGAGGCGGGGGGAAGTTGGGATGATTACATTCAGAGGCCAAAACAGACCAGGCAGAGAAGTTCAGGAGGGCTGAAATGCACCCATCTGGTGAATGCCTAGTTAGGGAGTAAACGCAGGAAACCAATGCAACGACACTCGGGTGAAAACAATGAAGATAAACAGTTTGCTGAAATGGTCATTTGCGCCATGAACTATCAAAAGGGTTTCAAACAAAGCAATGCTCTGTAGGGCTAGTCATACAGGCTGTGCAAATAATCCTTCTCTCCAAAATGCAGTTCAGCCACCCCTCCCCAGTGACCGTAAACCGATTACTCTGAAAATAAGTGGTTAATTTTCACAACTGAGACTAGTTAAATGAGTTTGGAGACTATAACCCTCTCTAGCTCTGTGCCCTGTGTATGTCCTGTTGGAGATGAGGTGTACGGTCCTGCTGGGCCACATCTTTGCATCTCGTGCAAAATGATGAGCCACATGGCTGTAAAATTAATCTAGACATTTATTTTTAATCTCAGACAGTCACAGACAAAACAACAGTATAACACCAGCAAATTTTGGCGTAACTGCAGCACTATCGAAACTGAGGACTGAAAAACCTGCTGACACTTCTTACAACTTTCATGGGAAACTTGGTTTCTTTGGGGGTGGTTTTTCTCCTGTTTGAATGAAACAAAATGATTGTGAAGGAAACATCTTCTGTAAGCAGATCCAAATACTTCTGGCTGTGAGATCTGAATATGATTGACAAAAGATTCTTATTGAAATATTTATAAAGTTGGGCCTTTCGCTAATATTTTGCAGGAGCTAGTCTTGGAATTGCAAGATCCAGAGGCCTGGGACTCTGACTTCCTGTTTTTCTTTAATGAAATAAAATAATAATAATAATTAGTAGGAACTTCTTAGTATCGATAATAATGATTATTCATCACATGCATTATTAAGAATATTTCTCTTTTTTTTAAACTATAAGGGCAATATATGCTGTAGTGTTGGAGTGATGTGTATCAGGACAGTCCAGGAAATATTCGAGGCAAGAATTTTTTTGGGTGATATCTAAGATCTCTCTCAAGTACGCAGTTGGTCCAATAAAAGATACCACTCCAAAAAATCCTTGCCAAAGGCCCTATCCATCATCTGCTAACACTTTACATCACCAGCATTTTAAGAATTTCAGAAATTTTATTTCTTTTCCATCTCCTCCCCATTGTGGATTTTTCCAGTTTAAGGGTTGATTTCCTCTCAGCCATCCACGCCCTTATTAGTAGGGACCTGCTTAAATTGCAGTTTCACGGATTTTGTGGAAACCATGAAAAACAGTCTGTGATCACTGTGATTGACGGGAAGTCCACCATTGGCCACGACTTCCCACAAAATCAACCAAGGCACCCTCTGCAAATCAGCGGCAAGGGGCAGGGCTGCCACAAAATGCCCGTGAAATTGGCTCTGCACGCCATAAGCAGGCCGCAAAAAACATAATGTCTCACCATAACTTAGGTAGGTCACTACTTATTAATTGGTTCCTTCCCTCTCTCGTTCCTTTTCCTCATTAAGTTAAGGAAATTATTTAAAAAAATAAAATGCATTTACAGAAAGTAAATTTATATGAGCAAATATATATTATTTCCCGCTTGCTTTCAGATACGTTTTATCTTGGCCTGTGCTGTGTGACTTTATTTTTTAGGGGAAATGGGAAGATATTCTAAATAGGTGGAGTTAAGGGAGTCATACATCACCTTCTGTTAGAAATAAGGATGGACAGTGGAAAACTGAAAAATAATATAATCATAGGCCAAGGCTTTAAAAAATGACTAGAGATTTTAGATACTTGAGTTTCAGGGAACCTAAGTGATTTTTATTCTTGATTTTTCAGAAAGTGCTGATAGCTGATCTTCCAGCCTCTGAACCTCAACTTCATTTTAGGCTTTTCAGACAGGATACTGAAAAATAGAAGTACCCAAAATTACTAATTGCATGTGAAAATGCTGCCCCTTTTTGCTTTTTCCAATTTCCAAACACCTTTGAATATGAGGAAATAGAGGCTGGAAAGGATAAACAATCTAGGCCACACAGTTAAACACTGGTATAAGTGGGGAGAGGACCCAAGCTTCCTGCCTCAATACTAATGACTTATTTCCTAGCTTCTCATAGTGGTGAGGATTAATAGTATCATGGACACTTTTACCTCTTGTTACCTGGTCAAATTCAGCTAAGGTAATTACCAACCAAAATAATTAATCTGGATGTTTGCTGGTATAAGAGAAATTAATTGAAGAAGATGCTTCCATTTCTGAATAACAGGATTTAAAATTAAAATTGACGCCTTTCCCAGCAATTCCAGGAAAGAGGGTGAGATAGGGGCAAGGATTCTTCACTTGAACCTTATTTATATGTTGAAGCTATTTATATCTGTGCAAAATGATATAAAATGGTACTAATTAATCTGATAACACTTTTTGCCCATTTTGCATAGATATAAATTATTCCATGAGATACAAAGGCAGTGAACAATCATCTCCCAGAAAAGCTGAAGGACCCTGTCACCTTTAGAGAGAGGTGGTCATTCCATGAGTAGCCAGAGGTGTACTGGTAAAAACAGATGTTTGAGTTTCAACCACCTTTGATGTATCTAAGACCGCAGCAAAGATTTTTAGGGAAATCATTGTGGCATCTTTTCACGAACACTGGGAGTTATAGGAAGTAGAGAGGGAATATCTCTATTTTTTGCATCATATTTCCAGCCAGAGAATTTTTCTTAATGCTCATTGGGAGGTATTTCTGACACTAATCAGTCATTATTAGCAAGAGTTATATGGTGCTAGCAAGAATCTTTGGAAGAATTGTTTGAGGGGCAATGACTTCTGCATTTTTTTAAATTTCACTTGGTGGGGAGATCACTTAAGTTGTACTGCAGCACTTGAGTTGTATTTTTAAAGTTTCAAGGGTGCTGAGAGGATATTTTCAAGTAGCCAATTTTCTTTATCTTTCTTTTTAGCATTTTTATAAATCAACATAAGTAACCCAAATAGTAAAGCCTCACTCCTGCATTGTGATTCTCACTGGCAAACTCCTTTGAGAATCAGTGGCGTTCTGCATAGATGTCAGAGTCTTCCCAGATGTTTGGTTATCAGGATTTGGGCCCTAAAATAAATGTTCACATCCTCACTATACCTTGTAGCTCCTGTAGCAATGCCAGAGCACAGCATAGAAACATGCCCTATCTTCTGTACTTCATTTTTTATTTTCCTTTTATTTAATTAGCTATTTGTTCTGTTTTCCTGTTTAGAAGCCTGATAAGTGTGAGATTCATAGCAATGGGTGCTGAATTTGAGCCCCTCTTCTTTCTTCCCATTCTACCACTACCAGAGGAAAAGCCTGGCCTAGCCAGCTGCAGCCTGAGCCTGCAGGCCCTGGATCCCTTGGAGCTGCTACCATGGCTGAGTACAAGTGACGGTTGTTGTGTGAACAGGGGAGAGAGGTCATAAGGCAGCGAGGGGAGCATATGTTCGTCTGTGTGAAGCTATACACACAGTCCTTGGAGCAGGTTGGCTGTATAGGGATAAAGGGTGAGGCAGATGCAGCATCATGGAGTCTGTCCCATTGCTACTCCTTTTTCTCCTTTGACCTGAATCCATACACAGACTATGGATTAGCCAGGCAGCCTCTTGGTTAAGGCCAGGAGCAAAACTATACATTAGAAGGCCTGTTTCCCTCAGCGCACTGGGCAACTCGTTAACATTAATAATAATTATGTGCACGCACTAAAAGGAGCAGCATCTTCTGTCCACATCAGAGCAGCTCCAGAATATCCAATTTGTAGTAATATAAGTTGTTATTATTGATAGATTCTCCCTACCAGGAGACTGAGGGAGTTGGGAAACAGGAGATGGTCCCTCAGGGAGCAACTAGTTAGGAGTCAGGCAGCGAGTTACCCACCAAGGGTCTGCAGATGTTGCATACTGATCTACAAATTAAAGCGTGTTGTTGTTCTTATTCACTTAGACCTATGTTTACTGAACCCATCAATAACTACACACTTCGTCTTAGACTGGCAGATCGAGTCACATCACTAGTGAAGGAAAACCAGGATAAGGAGGCTATTGGTCCTAGGCTACAAACCAAACCTTGGATTTCAAGGATACTTGGAGAGTTCACCTTGCAGAGTTTACAGAACTGTCAAACATCTTTCCATGGGTGTCTACAAAAGAGGGTTCAATTTATCCCTCTGCCTGGCTGTCTTTATTTCTTCAGTCTCATTAACATTTTTCCTCCTACTATTTTATCAATATTTAAAATGCATTTTTTCAGGTTAGCTTTTTCCTCCTTATTCCTCAAGCTGCAGCTTTTGAGCCCTCATTTCTGTAGCTCCTTATTTCTCTCCCACTGTCTTCCTACTAGTTGCCTTTTCTTTTTCTCACTATTCTATGTCTCTCAGATGTTTATTACTAGTGGTGCTGTCATCATTTTTATATTATCTTGTTATTATTTGAATGACAGTATATAAGCAAACCATTAACGAACC